ATTCCCGAGGAAGTCCCCGAGTTAATCAATAACTCTCTTTCAACCTCGGGTATTAAGGTCGGCATAAAGTCGGCCACGAAGTCAGCCAAAATTTGGGATTTGATGGCGGTTCGGGGCCGGTACTCAATATCGTAACCACTTATTTACACGGCCCATTTGGCCAATCGGCCCTAAGTTCGGGCTTATGCATCACGTTCCTTAACGGGTAAGTTGTTACGACAACATATGGGGTGACATTGGAAGTATGGTTTTAGTTTCCTGGAGGCGCTTAGCAAGGCGAGCGCCAGTTTTTCCAAGTTAGGGCATGTAGTTTCGGCCTCACCTAAGGTCCTACTAACATAATAAATCGGAAATTGCGTACCTCATTCCTCTCGAACTAGGACTCCACTTACCGCTATCTCCGAGACCGCAAAGTACAAGTATAGTTGTTCGTCTGTCTTCGGTATGTGAAGCAGCGGTGGGCTCGATAAGTACCTATTAAGCTCCTTCAGAGCTCGTTGACATTCAGGAGTCCATGAGAAGTCATTCTTCTTTTTCAACAGTACAAAGAATCAGTGGCTCTTGTCGGACGACCTTGAAATAAATCGCCTCAGAGCGGCTATGCGCCCGGTTAGCCTTTGCACGGCCTTTATGTTGTCTACGACTGTGATGTCTTATATTGCTTTGATCTTGTCGGGGTTGATCTCGATTCCTCGGTTGGTACCATGAACCCAAGGAATATACCTGATCTAACTCCGAACGCACATTTTTCCGGATTCAGCTTCATATTGTACTTCTTCAATATGCTGAAGGTTTCCTACAAATGTTTTAAATGGTCCTTTGCTCGCAGGGACTTAAACAACATATCGTTAATGTAAACTTCCATCGATTTTCCTATTTGTTATTCAAAAATTCGATTTACTAAGCGTTGGTATGTGTTACCGGCATTTATTAATCCAAACGGCATTACATTATAACAGCATATGCCGTATTTAGTGATGAAGGAGGTTTTTTCCTGATCACCTGGGTCCATCCATATTTGGTTGTACCCAAAATAGGCATCGAGAAAACTGAGGATCTCGTGGCCGGTCGTGGTATTGATCATACGGTCGATGTTGGGCAAAGGAAAAGAGTCTTTGGGGCATGCTTTATTCAAATCTTTGTAATATACATATATTCTTAGTTTATTCCCTTTTTTAGGAACTACCACTACGTTTGCTAACCAATCCGTATATTTAACCTCCCGAATGGACCCTATTTTAAGGAGTTTAGATACCTCATCCTTGATGAAGGCATGTTTGACCTTGGACTGGGGCCTCCTCTTCTGCTTGATCGGATTGATTTTTAGGTCCAGGCTTAGTTTGTGAGTGGTTATCTCCAGTAGGATACATGTCATATCAATATGGGACCAAGCGAAACATTCTATATTAATTGCAAGTAATTGAATAAGTTTTTTCCTAAGCTCAGGAGTTAACCCCGTGCCCAGGTATACCTTCCGATCGGGCAGATGCACAACCAATATAATTTGTTCCAGCTATTCGACCGTTGATTTGGTTACGTCGAAGTATTCGGGGATTATAAAAGATAGGGGGACCCCGTAATCATCGTCTTCATAAGTCCCCTGCTTATCTGATTGGGTCGTGGCCGGTGTCGATGACTGATATTTGGCCTCTTGTCTTGCACCCGAATTTGGTTCCTTCGATGTCGTGAGTACCGATATTGGAATCACTTCTTCGACTGCAAACATCTCCTTTGCGGCCGGTTATTCCCCATATACTGTCTTAATCCCTTCCGGAGTTGGGAATTTTAACACTTGGTGAAGAGTTGAGGGCACTACCCTCATGTTGTGGATCCATGACCTTCCGAGAAGGGCGTTGTACCTCATGTCTCCTTCGATCACATAAAACTTGGCCTTTCGTATGGTTCCGGTGATATTGACCGGTAACGTTATCTCCTCCTTAGTGGTTCCACATACCATGTTGAACCCATTTAGAATTCGGACTGCAGGCACAACTTTGTCTCGTAGACCGAGTTGTTCCACGACCCTCGACCTAATGATGTTGGTCGAGCTACCTGGATCAATCAACACATGTTTAATTCGAGTTTTATTTACGAGTACAGATATTACCAGTGCATCATTGTGAGGCTGTATGATCCCTTCCGCATCCTCGTTGCTGAAAGATAAAATTCCTTCCGGTACGTAGTCTCGAGTTCGTTTCTCCCTAGTGATGGATATTTTGGTGCGTTTCAACATCGGCCCTTGTAGGATATCGACTCCACCGATGATCATATTTATGATGTGTTGAGGTTCGATATCTTCTTGTCCTGTCTGTTTGTTAGAATCCTTGTTTCTAAAGTGGTTCTTGGCTCGGTCGCTCAAGAATTCTCGAAGGTGTCCATTGTTGAATAAACGAGCTACTTCTTCTCTCAGTTGTCGACAATCTTCTGTTCTATGACCGTGAGTGCCATGATATTTGCACATCTGGTTAGGGTCCCTTTGAGCTGGATCAGATTGTAGAGGTCGAGGCCATTTGGTATCACTAATGCGCCCGATAGCAGATACGATGGCGGCAGCATCGACATTAAAGTTGTATTCCGATGGCCTCAGCGCTTCTTTAGGCCCGATGGACCTGTAAAAGTTGTTTTTGGTCATGAGCCCCCAGTTGTTTCGACCTTGATCATTTCTCCTGTCATTTATTATGGGGTTCTACCCCGACCCGCTGCTTCTTCGATCTCCATTATATGGTATATATCGATCCCTGTTTGATCTTGGTTCATGATCGATGTCTTTCTTGACTCTGTCGAGGGTTCTAACGGGATAAACAATCTCCGAGGGGGCCCCGAGTTGGTCATCTTCGACTCTGATTTTTAATTGTAATAGGTTATGTACATCTCCCCAGGTAACGGCAGGGTATTCTATCAAATTCTGCTTTAGTTGGTGTGAAGCCACCGAACTTTGAATATTGAGTCCCTCAGTGAAAGCTTGAACAGCCCAATCATCAGCGACTGGCGGCAGGTCCATCCGTTCCATTCGGAAATGGGACACGAATTCTCTGAGCATCTCGTTATCCTTTTGGTTAACTTTGAAAAGGTCTAATTTCCTGGTCTCGACCTTTATGGCACCAGCATGTGCTTTCACGAAGGAGTCTGCAAGCATAGAAAATGAATCAATAGAATTAGGAGGTAAGTTGTGATACCATGTCATAGCTCCTTTTGACAGGGTCTCCCCAAATGTTTTCAGTAGAACCGACTCGATCTCGTCGTCTTCCAAGTCGTTCCCTTTGATGGCGCACGTGTAAGAAGTTACATGCACGTTTGGATCGGTCGTTCCGTTATACTTAGGTATTTCGGGCATACGAAATTTTTTGGGGATTGGCTTTGGAGCCGCGCTCGGAGGAAAAGGAGTTTGCAAGTTGGCATCGATCGCCACATGTGAATTAATATCAATCGGATCTGCGATCGAAATTCCTACGGGACCAACGGGTGGCCCTACATTACCGGGTGCTATGTTGTTATTCTCACCCTGATGACCGGCTCGTTGTCGATATATAGAGGTGCTAATTGAGAGTTTGACATTTCTTTTTTTGCCTGAAATCAAAGATACTTCAAAGAGCAAGTGTAAAGTAGTGTGTGTTATGAAGATTTGTATCAAATAACCACTATTATCCTTAGCCCCATGGTGGGCGCCAAACTGTTTACCCTCAAAATCGGATAACAATTGAATTTGTTAATGGTTATAAGGACATGTGGATTAACTTGATACAAAGCGATAAATTAGATTGCAATTGGAATAAATGATTATAAAATAACTGCAAACCACAGGAATTGGATGATTCCAATTTCGGAATGCCAGCCACCCTTGAGTTGAATATACTTTTATTGACAGAAAAAATATCAAAGAGTAGGAGCTTGGAAAATGTATTACTTATTAGTACTCCCTCCGTTTCAATTTATGTGAACCTATTTACTTTTTCGTCCGTGCCAAAAAGAATGACCTCTTTCCTTATTTGGAAACAATTTATCTTTATGCAATGATTTATAGCCACACAAAATATATGTGCCTCATTTTACACCACAAGTTCAAAAGTCTTCTCTCTTTTCTTAAACTCCGTGCCCAATCCAATGAGTTCACATAAATTGAAACAGATGGAGTATATGTTACTATGTCCCTCATGAATTGTCAAGTTCCATTTATTTATCAGGGGAGATCTACCTTTTAAGATATTATTTTATTATTCTATAAAAAGCAAAAGGACTGTTGGTTCCCTTTTTCTGTGATTTCTGTTATAATGGTTGGTTAATGGCGAGAATTACGGACCCCTGTCGGATGAATTGGCAAAGCTTTCTTCGAGGTCGTTGGGAAAAGGACCGGTTATGCCTTCGATAAACTCGAGGGCATATCGGATGGTTTCGATGGCTAACTTCGACAACGCTTTGGGTTCGATCATAATTACCATGTGCCGATCTTGGCCGATGATGTTTGGCGTCAGATCGATCTTCGAGCTCGACTTCACCTGATCAAAGATATTTCGACCCTGATCTAATCGGGGAATTCGGAAGCTCGATCAAATATCGAGCTTGGTTTTACCCGTATATACCCACCTCACTCACAATAACACATATTCTACATCATCCAATGTTTGTGTTGATGGGAGATAACAGGTACTAGGTGGAACAGAAATCAAAAAAATTACATGCTCAACTCCAAAAAAGAAAGAAAGCCCTTTTGGATATTCATTTCTCTAGAGCAAACAACATCATGCAAATACATAGGCATCTTCCCTTCTCTTTTGGATGAGTGGGGTGGCTTCGAAGGCATTATCAAAAGGGGCTACCAAATGCCCGAATCCCTGTAGCAAACCCTAAGATTGCCTTATTCTCTTTCAATCAACAAAATGAGATATGGAAGAGAGAAAAAAAAAGGTCAATACCGTTATAAAAAAACATAGTAACACATATCCTATAAATCAGCAAACATTTAAAAAGATGTAAATTACTAAGAGGAAAGATCATTTCTTGTTTTACTTTCTGCTTTCAAGAATTTTCTCCAAGTCACTATGCCTGCAAGGTATAGCAAGAACACCTTCATGGTCGAAACCAAACTCTTCCTCTGCTCGCTCCAACAACTTCACGAAACCTGGATCCGCTAAATAACTCAATTCTACAACAAACCTCTTCTTTTTTCCATCATCAATTGCATGCACTACAAAGTGGCCTTCCTTGACGTCTTCTGGAGGAGGCAATGAGGCTGCATCTTCGTCCCAATCGTCAACAACATGCATGAAACTGGATCTTCTTGAGAATTGAAGGATTTTCTTCAGCATCTTTGTGATATGCTTTCGACTCGTTGAACCTGCAAACATCCTTAAAGGCGTAATTCTTCAAAACAACTCACGAACAGAAACTCTCGATACAGAAAGAAAGTGGTTAAAGCAAATATATACACAGTTCAGGGAGAACAGGAGACTCGGTTGTGAAATGTATGCATGAGATGAAATGCATGTGAACTACATTAACATGTTACTGAAGCATCACTTTCGGCTTCCTTGTCCTTTCAAGGACAACGTGCAGTTGTTGTAGAAATGTAGAAGCAATAAGAAAGTTCTATTTCATATAGTTTCTTTACATTAAATTTAGGAAGGACATATGGGACCTCTTAGGTAAATGATGTAAAACTATACATAAGAGAGTCGCTGCTGCAAGTACTTTAGAAGGGACCTTTTAGGTTAATGATGTAAAACTATTCATAAGAGACTCAAATGTAGCAAATACTTTAGCAGACAGCACGCATAAAGAAATGCATAGCTACAGTTGCAAATGCTTACAGCAAAATTGAGGCTATTTCCCATCAACAGCACAGTACCCCCAGAAAATGTTGATATAACAAGCACTCCAAGGTATAATATCCGATTTGTTGCCCAGTCAAATTACTTCTCTTTTTTAACTACAATGACTAATTCCAAATACAGGATACTTCAAAATTTTATGGTAATTTTGTCAGTTATTTTGAAGGGAAAAGTGCAGGAATTTGTCGCATGCTGACATACTGCTTACAGCTACAGCTAGAAATTGCCAGTAATTACACCAGTTGAAAATCAAATAATTAGATTTCTCAAAATAATGAATGATGGGTGAAGTGCTGATCAGAATGCGCAAACTTAGATATGAAAAGTTGATAAATGTCCTACTTGAGAAGCTATTGGGAGTAAGGTCTTAAAAGTCACATGTTTAACACAAGTACATCACCCTTGCAACTAGTGGCGGAGCCAGGATTTTCGTTAACGAGTGTCAAAATATTAAAAAGTAAATATACGAAAAAAACCAAGGGGATTCAACATATAGTATATATACGTTAAAAAAATTACCTAGCTATGCAGTGTATTTTTCCCGCGAAGGGATATCAATAGACATCCCTTGGTATAAGGTGGCTCCGCCACTGCTTGCAACAAGCTTCAACTATTATATTCATGCCCATCAGAATGCAGTGATCCCACCATGCTGCCTCAGACAAGGCATTGGCAACAATCACTTCAGGTTAGCTTCATCTTTTCTTGAAATTTGTGGGCCATCACAATAAAATTTCCCGAGTTGTAAAACACATCATCTGCAACATGAACACATCATAGAACAATTTGGCCCTGAGGGTCAACAATCACCAGTAAAAGCACTAGGCAAAATGCAGCTTCCAAGAACTTTTGAGAGAGTCATTTCGAAAGGGACAAACATACTTTTCTAACCTTGACAAGAAAGCTAAGTAACTTAATGAGGTTAATGTTTCTGATAGAAAATTCTAAATCCCTAAGATATTATTCAGAAAAAGGAGAAGACTGGAGAGAAGAAATAACAGAACGAAAATAAACAAAACGAAGTCAAACCAAATACGCAAGACTGCTAACAAATAATTGGAGACTTCTCATAGTTTTCAAGATATGACTGTAGCTTTTTACTGATAGAAAACAGAAAACGAGTACAATACTACTTTGTATGCCTTAACTAAAGATATATGAGTTTTATTCATCATAGACATGATAGGTGCTACAGATGCTATGCAGAGCTTAAAATGGTAATGGAACTGTTTCATATGTAGATCAATATATGGAATTTTATTGTACAAGAACACATAATTTATCTTTCCAACTGCACATAACTCTACATTGTACAAACATGCCAACTAAAGAAGACAAACCTAATTTTATATGCCTAACCAAGTTACCCTACATGTTCAAACATGCAACAGATTATTGTAACAGTTACTACATTCGTTCTGATGGCAAGGTTATGTAGTAGAATTGTTCTAATAGGCTATGACTAGAATGTCCATCTTGTTGGCTGCTAATGATCAATTAGGAAGAATCAAACTTATTTGCAAAAGAAATTCTAACTAAAGTAAACTTCAACAAATATAAGTAAAAGACTTATTGTGGCCAGATACTTCAGTGTCCTACTATAATTGACAACACTAAGACGATAATCCTACAAGTGATTCCACAGAAAGTTTATCTTTTAACTCATCAAATACCTCATCTCTATGCAAAAATATCTAGCATGTTGTGGTGAAAATAGCTGAGACAATTCGAGGACAATCAATTTTGGTCCAAAACCAGTAGCAGCTTCACTTTTGCTCAAGTAAGCATGTTACGTTCTAAACATTATCTCCAGGCTGCCTCACATACCATCCAAATAGAGGAACAAGTGGGAAGCGGAGATTGCCTAATAAGGAAAAGGTCATTACTATAAATTTCTCATGTTTGGGTCTTGAATTACCAATTCTAAGTAGAACAAAAGGAGGACTAGTTTAAACAGATCTGTAGCAAGGTAGTTTAAGCATCACCATATACTATTGCAAAAAATACCAATTTAAGCAGACGACCACTTTCATGGAGGGAAGGAAACAAGAAAAGAAAAGAAATAAAGTGTTAATATATAATTAGTCTTAAACTAGCAAATGATACCATATTTCTTTTGACATTTGGGAGGCTTTTGTAATATACTGAACCAACTTCATAAAGTTAATTGCAACCCTGATCCTTCATCCAAAGAAGTGAAAAATAGTTTCAAAGCATGTAAAATCCGAATAAGAGCCCCCTTTTTATGGGAAACTTGAAACAGGTATGCAGATGAATGAAAGTAATAAAAGAATTTTGTTTCCCAAAAATAATTCCTAGAAAAGGGCAAAAAAGGGCAGCCCAGTGCACAAGGCATTCCGCGTTCACGCAAGATCCGGGAAAGGGCCGCACCCTAAGTGATGTGATGTAGACAGCTAGCCTACTCAAATGCAAGCATTAGTGGTTGATTCCACGACTCGAACTCGTGACCTATAGGTCACGCGGAGACAACTTTATCGTCGCTCAAGGCTTCCCAATATGAAATAAATGCAATGCAACGAACAAACCATTATGGTACTAAGCCATAGCCTATAGCCAAGACCCAACATGATAATAAATCTATTTTTGAATTAAAGGCTGCAGCATATAAACATATAGCTTAAGTGTTCAGAAAAAACATTATTAGGAGGGCATCTGAATTAAGGTAGAAGTGACATCAATACCACATCAGTTAAGATCACATTGCACAAGATAACGCCAACCTCATATTCAGTAGTAATTTATCCCATTTATCCATGTTTTCTATATTAATCTGCAGTAATATGAACAAGCACAAGTATAACGAAACGAATCATACATTTCAATTTCAGAGCAATTGAGGACACTCAATCATACCACTTAGTGGATATATAAGGGAAGGATCTGTATGTACAAATCTAACATTGCCACTTATTTCAACATTAAGCACGAGCAAGTTGGATATTAACAATACTATTTGTTACTGCTCCTAAGTATATGCTTGCCTAGACATATGATCAAACACTTGGTCTGCATTCCTGTTCCAGGATCATCTTTACAAGTTTTATCTGATCCTGGATTTATCTCATCTTTATAAGTTATAACAAGAAGCAAGAGGAAGCTCGTGGATCAAACGATGCAGATTTCTCTAAAAGCTACAAACATCTAAGTGTTCTAAGGATTAAAAGATCAAGACGAAGATTCAAGAACAAGCTGCAAGCCCTTGGATTAGAAATACGTCAAGATCAAGATCAGGCCTCAAGCACTTGGATTAAAATAAATTAAAATTCAAGATTAAGCTCAAAGGCTCTTTTATTTACTGTTGAAAAGAAGAATCAGAGGATTCATAGAGATTGTAACACTCAAATATTTGAAATAAAATACTACAATTGTTGCAATATTTTTCGGTCTTGATTTTATTTTCTAGACACAATTTATTGTCTACAAATTCTGGCACGCCCAGGGGGACAATCTCTACCTCTCATCTCAACTTTTCAATCATCAAAGTTCAAGAATATTGAAATGGCTTCAAAGAAAATCAACTCCAGTTCAACTTTCACCAAGGCTGCTAATGCCAGGTTCTATGCTAATGTGGAAAGCATCCTCGATGTTACCTTTGGAAGCTTTGGACCAGGTACGAGGAGCAAAGCAAGCTCGTTAGGACAACAAGCACCCCAAGTGTCGTCCGCATCAACCCCTGTTTTCGGATCTTCATCCTCAAAAGGAGCAAGATCTTCCACAAACGTACCCGAAGGAGGAAGCGATGTTGCTGAAAAGATCAAGAAAACTCTGGTTCTGCTTGACCTCTCCGGATCCAAGAACTCGGTTGTGAAGGAAGATAATGATGCTTCAAGTGATAGATCCTCCCCACTTACACCGCATAGTGTGAGCCATTCGAAAATCAATCTGTGTGACAGTCCATGCTACTCCCCATCATCTACAACAATCACGCAAGCCATGGTGACAAACACTTCATCTGTGGAAGAGCATTTGGCAAACTTGACGGAAGTAATCGTTGGCTTGACCAAATGTACGCAAAATCAAGATGATAGAATCGACAAGCTAACAGATAGGGTGGGAATCTTGATGGAAGAAGAATCTACCCACGCACCTGGAAAACTCCCAGAAGTTCCAGAGAGTGATTCTCCCCCAAGATAAGTAGCATCCGCTAAGGCTATCCCTGTCTCGTCTGAAGGGATGATTCCAATCGATCAACTTAAGGAGTTCATCGAAGGAACTATTAAAAGCAAGTACGAAGTTGCTACCAAGTATTCCCTTACATACGCAAAGTCGTACACTGCAAGGATCGATATGTTGAAGATTCCTGCTGGCTATCAACCTCCAAAGTTTTAGCAGTTTGATGGTAAAGGAAATCTAAAGCAACATGCGGCGCACTTCGTTGAGACATGCAACAACATTGGGACTTATGGAGATTACCTTGTCAAACAGTTTGTCCGTTCACTAAAAGGAAATGCTTTTTGATTAGTATACAGACCTCGAGGCGGGATCTATTAATAGTT